CCTCGTCACATGTCTGACCCCCCTAGGTGCGTTACGTCATTTATGGACGGCCCCTATGGTATATCCACTGCTGGATGAAGGCTGTTCCATACCGTCATCCATCCCTCCTGCACAAAAGCCGATTTGAGCACTCCATCTCCAAGTTAGTAGTTCACTCCTGTGGCTGCCATTCCTTAACCAGTCTTATCGCTTATCTCCCCTTCAAGTAATGACTTGCCCAAGTACACTTGTATTAAGGGAATGACTTATCTTCATTTGTCTTCTCATCCGCATGTTCCTATTCGTTTCAGTTTAATTACAATGTAAGCACCTTTCTATGCATATTTACACACTTTTCAGACGATATTTCCATGTCAGTGACCATAGCCTGCGATCAGTGTCATATGTGATAATATGCACCGAAATAAAACTTTCTTCTTTCAGAAGTTCATATTCAGAAGTTATATTCTTGGTTCTTTCGATAAAAAAAACAAAATAATATTGTTTTATATATTTTTTTATTATTTCCCTTCTTACGTGATTTTACCGAAAGAACCAAGAATATGAATCCCTGCAGTCACGAAAGCTTTAAATCAAAATTTTATTCAGAAGTTGTGTAACTAGATAAAAATGCAAGAGCACCAGGATAGTCTCTTGCAAAAGTGCAACTTTTTACCGTCTGGAACGCTCTTCCTTCCAATATTAGGAAGCCACTGGAGCTATGCACTTTGAAATTTTGACTGAAAACTAATTTATTTGGGACTGCTTTTTGTGTTTAGTTTGTTGTCCTTCCCCCGGACCTCCCGATTAGCACAGTTGGCTATGTAAGGTGGGAAAGAAGTTCAACATACATACATGACCTGAGGTATTAGTTTGGCAGTTGACAGTGTTATTGTTTATTACCAACCTTAGACAATGACGTTATACCACTTTATTTTTCACATATGTGGTACTTTAGTTGCATAAACACCGTAAAATAATTCCTTTAGCGTCCATTCCAAACAACAAAACTACGGTGTAAGGGTGACATTCTCCTTGGCGCTTGTGCCAGGCTAGGTGCACTTTGCATCCACGTGAAGTGGTGGAATGCGCTCCGGCAGTTTAGATACTGTACGAGGCAGGGCCTGATGACGAGTTTACAGACAAGTTTCCTTATAAAGTACGAGGTAAAAACCTCCGTTCAGTCTCCCAAATAAGATTTCAGTCGAGTGGCAGGTCACGTAAAGCTAGGGTAGTCTCCCCTGGTGGGGTAAAGTGTGGGTAACTCCCACCTCTTCCAAGTCGTCTGACCAGAGTGGAAGAGTAGGCCAATTATTATCAGGACTCTAAGAGGGTCTCTAGCGCTCCTGCTAGTGGGGTTCCGACAAAAGTGGCGTGAGCGAGCAATGGCATGGTTGGATACCTTGCAGGTCTTTTGTCAATCCACTGCTGGATGAGGGCTTCAGCACGCGGTGTGGGTCGTGGAGGATAGAGCATACTGTATATTATCCCGCTGGTGCGGGTTGGTGAACACTGGGAGCCAAGACATGGAAGCATCCTTCCCAAACTATGGGTCGCGACCCCATTCGTGGGTCACAGAACGCAACACAGTGAAACATAAATTTTTATTTAGTTTTAAAACAAATTATTAGTATCAGACTCGTACCCATGTGCAAAATTGGCTGGAACCAGAGCTATCACGTACTCCCCCTGAACCGTCACCTCACCCGTGCGTGGTAGTTATGCTGTTGGTGGTGGTAGTGGTTTATACCGGTTTTCTCTCCACATTTAGAAACATGCGTTTGGAGTATTCGGCTGCTTTAAATTTCCACATGATAAGCCACTTCGCTGAACTAACATTTGTAACTGGATCCCTTCTGAAAAATAGTTATATGGCTTAGTGGGCCTTAGCTGGTAAATTAACACAGTAGTTTAGTTTTAGTTTCTGTCAACATTTCCCATTCCAGGGCCACGCACTTTTCAGCTGGCTCAATCTTCGGGGTACACTGAACCCAAAAAACTCACTGTGGGTCCAGGTGGGTGACTTAAGAGGCATAGCATTGAAGGCGAGAGATAATTCCCTATTCCTTGCCCATTCTGCTCTCAACGAAAACAAGTAAATCAAGTGGCGATGCCAAAATCCGTGACAAGAATTTGCCCAACTGGTTGAGTTTATTCGTGTCTGTTTTGAGTGTTTCCGTGTCTGTGTGTCTTGAGCGTATTCACGTCTGTCTCTGCTTTTGAGCTGCACTAATATCACCCTGTGTAATAATACCATCACTGCAATAGTATAATCACGACGCCGTGAGCTGCACTCTTGAACACCTTCATACAAAAGGTAGGCTCCCTCTATTACACACCTTTGTTGCGAACATGACATCCACCATGTGTAAGATTACCCTGTTTCTTGGCAAGGTTTTGGTATGTGTGCATCCTCTAAGACGTCAACAACCGTCATTGTGTTTCACACACACGTACAGTCTTGCCTGTCAATGGGTCCCAATAAAAATGATCTGGCTACTGGAGCGGGTCACGAGTTGTAAATTTGTGAAGCCCCCGATGTACAGGGTGGTCCAGATGTTTTCTGGCCCGCATTTTATTCTCTAAAACGTATATTTTTTTTTTGAAAGTAAGGTTTATTTAAAACAAATTAATATGCAAATAATGTTAGGGGTCAATTCATTGGGGGGGGGGGTCACATGACATCTGGACCACCCTGCAGAGGACAAGACGTCGATGCATTGCCCTCTGCTGTCACAACACGTATCCCCGCAGACTGTCACAACCTACCGTGCCCGGTGGCTGCCCAGTCCATGAGCTATCCTGGCTCAATCCTGCTTGGTGGCATACGGGATCAAACGCAGTCCGGTTGATTTGGTCACAGGATGCTGAATATGATTGGCGCGGTGATCCACGCCATTTAGCCGACAGAGACGTTAAAACGTTTAAACCCTGGCGCTTACTCGTTTATAGGGCTGAACGATTTGGGGAAAATATCGAATTGCGATTTTTCTGACATTGCGATTTGATTTGCGATTACATTTTTTTAAGTTAAGCTTCAGTTCAATATTCACTGCGTAATAGAATTTAAACATGTATATGGAGCATTACCACATGATACCATCAAAATATGAACTGCTCTATACAATCTAATGCAAGGATAAAATAGAACAAACATAGAACAATTGTTAAGTTAAACAAATAAAGTTATAATAATACAAAATAAAAGAACTCCAATAAGAAAGTAATAGGACTTTTAAAATCGCAACCTTTGCGATTTGCTTATCGCATTGTTTCAAATTGCGATTTCGATTTGAGATCGATTAATCGTTCAGGCCTACTCATTCACACCGCCGAGTTGACGGGCGCAGGGGGCGATTTTTACACACCAGACGTGCGCATCTCATACGTTTCATCTGCCGCGCAGAGATGATCGAACAGGCGACCTCTGCCACGTGTACAGGGCCTGCTGTACAGTACTGGACATGCAATGGTTATCCAGCCGCGTTTTACGCAAGCCAAGCCACGCTCTGGATGAAAACGAAGCACCCACGTCCCGATTACGACACCAAAACAATTCAACATTGCGGGGCGCTGGCAACTTCACTCACAGCTGGGTCACAGCCACACAATGAGGGGGGGGGGGGGAGGGGGGTGGTGACCGTGCCAGAAGTTTGCGTAACGATACAAAAAAATATTTTACCAGCTAAGGCCCAATGAGCTATATAGCTCTTTTTTCAAAAGCGACCTGGCCACAAATCATGGCTTTTGTGGACAATTATAGCAGCCAAATACTCTTAAACGCACGTTTCTAAAAGTCGAGGGAAAACCCGGCCACGGGGAGACACACGCAGACTGCAAATACACAACAAGCGCCAGGGTCGGGATCAAATCCACGACCTCCTGCATACCAGGCGAGGGAGTTAACATCTCATAGCCACCGCGGCGCCCACACCAACAATTCAGAGCAGTGGACAAGTTGGGTCATCCACCATCTCCATGGTGGTCCAGATGTCTTGTGACGCCCCCCCCCCCCCATTTCATTGTCGAAAAGTTTTTTTTAAAGTCACGTTTATTTAAAACAGAAATTATTATACAAAGGGGGCAAATGTTTTAAGGGTCAATTAATAGGGGGTATCATAAGACATCTGGACCACCATGTACAGCAAAGACCTCCCGTGCAGCCGAAACTGGCTGTTGGGGGTGAGTGCTATAAGCGAGGACCTATGAAGGCCGGCACAGCACACGAGTGGGGGGGGGGGTGGCGATGTTTACGCACTGCTATAAGGTACTCATTTGAGGCTGAGTCGACCTAGGGGATGCCCAGAACCGGTTCAGATATTCATCACCGATATTTGCCGGGAATCGACCTCGGGTCGCAGGGATTCGTATCGCGGCGCGCTAACCGCTGCACCACCGCTCCCCCCCGGTCCACCACACGATTTGGACGAGCCCAACATGGCGATGCTTCCCGTCAACGTCGCGGCAACTTTCACAGTGGAAGCCGCCGCACAGTGACCGGAACGACTAACGCGGTGACCTCAACCTGAACGACTCACGCGGTGACCTGAACGACTCACGCGGTGACCTGAACGACTCACGCGGTGGCCTGAACGACTCACGCGGTGACCTGAACCTGAACGACTCACGCGGTGACCTGAACGACTCACGCGGTGACCTCAACCTGAACGACTCACGCGGTGACCTGAACGACTCACGCGGTGACCTGAACGACTCACGCGGTGACCTCAACCTGAACGACTCACGCGGTGACCTGAACGACTCACGCGGTGACCTGAACGACTCACGCGGTGACCTCAACCTGAACGACTCACGCGGTGACCTGAACGACTCACGCGGTGACCTCAACCTGAACGACTCACGCGGCGACCTGAACGACTCACGCGCGCCGGTAGCTCGGATGTCCGCGCCGTACAACGCTCGCGGCAAACTACACCCCGGTCCGATAACGCTTCCGGGACAGCTTCTTGTCGTGCGGGAGCGGTGACCTCTGGCTGCGGCTGCCACCGCGACTCGCGTGGTCGTCGGCGAAGGCGGAGGCGATGGCGATGCCGCCGCCGCTGCTGCTGCTGGGGCTGGCGCGGATGACGGCGACGGCGGCGGGGCCGCTGACCCCGAGGCGCGCGGCGTTCGACGGCTCCCTCCGCCGGCTGCGGCTGCTCGCGTGGACGGAGCCGAGGCGCCACCTGGCGGGCTACGTGCGGCAGGTCAGGTGAGCGGCGTCGCTGGGTGAATGTATCGGCAGCAGGCGGCCCCACAGGCACCGCTCAGGGGTCGTACATAAATGACGTCACGCGATTTTGGACGATTTTTGACCCCCCCCCTCACCTCTCAAATATGACGTCACAAAGCTCTGCGTCCACCCCCCTCCCCCACTAAAAACATTTACATTTTGAAAATAAAACATTCTTCAAGTCGCATTAAAATATTGTCATTGTAGCGCGTATGTAATGTGGCGCTGCACTCTGATGTTGCATGAGTGTTGTTATAACAATAACAATTCGTGTTGTAACAATTCTATATTTAAAGTTGCGCATTTTGATGTGACGTCACATTTCTCAAACACCCCCCCCCCCTCGTCACACACCGTCACAAATGTCTGACTCTCCCCCCCTAGGTGCGTGACGTCATTTATGAACGGCCCCTCACAAGTCTTGCATTGTCATCAATAGCAGTCATCATCACCAGCAGCACCACCAAAGATCCCCGTGTAGCCTTGGCCGACTGGCGGAGCAAGTGCTGTGAGCGAGTAGCACCTATGAAGGCTGGCACGGCACACAGAATCCGGGAGAAATCCGATGAGCTGTGAAGCTCTTTTTTCACAGATGTCCAGGGGGGTGGGTGGCCAACACCCACGCCCTGTTGGCGATGTTCGCACATCGTAACAGATACTCTTTTAATGGTTCTATTCCCGTGAGCTAAAGTTTAAAGCCGTAAATAGTCATTTAAATGTTTGCCCTCCTCAGGTGGGATCTGCAAATTAAATTGCCGGCCGACGACGAATGGACCATCATCATAGGGATCAATTATGATGATCATCATCATTGATACTGATTTTTTATGGGAGAATTTTTATTGCAGTGATTGACAATGATGATGTCGATTATATTTTACAATGACACTGATCGTCGCTTTTAAAATTATGAGGTCCATTTCCCCACGTACATTTTTTTTAAATCAAAAATATTAGTGCATCAATTTTCAAGTATCTGGGGACATTCTGCAGCAAACTACTATACTAAAACTAAACATTTTTTTAAATTTTAGCAGGTAAGGCCCATTGAGCTACCTAGCTCTTTTTCATGAGCAGCCTGGCTACATATGATAGCTCAACGAAGTGTCTCATCACGTGGAAATTTATAGCAGCCAAATACTCTAAACGCGTCTTTCTAAACGCGGAGGGAAAACCCAGAGGTACGTGGAGAAAAATCCACGCGATAACGGGGGGAGAGAGACACGCAGACTTCAAATATACAGCAGGCGTCAGGGTCGGGATCAAACCCACGACCTTCTGTATACCAGGCGAGGTAGTTGACATCTCCCCCCCAACACCCCTCACCCACCCCCACTTACCACCATAGCCGAGACCCATACTCAAACTCAGCGCCTCGGCAGCACCCTGCTCTGTGTCCCACACCTCCGATTAGTAAGGATTGGCTACGTCCCGTGCGAAAGAAGTTATACATACATCATCAGCCAAGGTTGCCAATCCTGTCTGGCCACTCAGTGCCAACCTCCCTGTATTTCCCTGCCCGCAGGCTCGTCCAGGAGCTCAAGGAGAATGACACCAAATGCAGGCAGGCGATGGACTCCGGTCTCTACCTCCTCTTCCACCGCCTCGCCCCCTTTGTCCAGCGCCACAACTCGGGCTACAGGGCCACCTGGCTGCCCGCTGCAGGTGGCACGCTTTCGCCTGGTCGTGTGCCAATGTACACCGGTGCATGCTTAACCCTTTCTCCGTTCTGATGACGTACGTGTACATCACCAAATGCGAAAGCAGAAGAAAAACTAAAATAAAATAATTTGATCAGTGCCGAGGCTCCCACAAGGCCATGCGGGAGGGCGTGTGGCACAGTGTTGCGCCCATCTATCAGAGAGTGGCGGTCGTGTGGCTACAGTTCTCTGCGGCGAGTACACTGACTTTAAAAACAACGGCGCTACGCCTCTAAATAATATGAACGCTTGGGCCACTTGTGCGTTCCGAAATTCAGAGGTGAGCAGGACCCACCCTGCAACTTGCAGATGTCTTGGAACGGGAAAGGGTCAACTGTGTACGATCACAATATTGTCAATATAATTTGGCGATGTCTATATCCATTGTGTGCACGCACGCCAGATTGCCATGTCCGGAGTGTGTCTGACCCCCTGTCCCTGCATCTATCTGTGTCCCTCACCCTGTCCAGATCCATAACCTTCAACTCTATCAATTTCTCGTTTCACATATATATATGACTCCGTCTCCTGGACCGATCACTGACGCTACCCCAAACCCATCACTAAACCTAATCCTATCCCTAACACTAATATTAACTGTAACACTAACTGCGTCCATTCATCCTAACACTACTCTTGATTCCTAACCCTATTCCAAACCGTCATGCTACTATGTACCCCTATCGATAACGCTTAACCCTAAACCGTGACCTGTGCCCAACTCCAACTCTACCCCTCCCCTCCCCCATCAATCATCTGGGACCGCAACAGAGGCGCTGAGGGTGCTGGATGTTGGGGGGCAGCCCCCCGAGAGGCTTCACGATGCTGTGCTGCTGGACTGCACCCCAGATCTCACTCCGCGGTTCGCTCTGGACACCGGTAATGGGGGGTGGGGGTGGCGGTAGCTTTTCAGGGTGAGACTCGATGGAAGCCCTCGAACATCTGAGCAAATCGCAGACGATGGGACTCATGAGAGGTTCCGTTTGGTAGGAGCCGACAGATCTAGAGTGGCAGGCGTGGCTCGTTGCGTGGATGTCGTGGGGGAGAGAGGACGCGCGACCCATCGATCCTCGAGACTGATCACACTCTCCGCCAAGCGCAGTGTTTTAGAAAACACAGACGCAGCAGTCCGCTGGTCGTTGCCGCGGCTGTGGTGCACAAGCACGCACCACTCGTGTGCCGCAGCCCCAGAAGCTATGCTTAAACCGTGACCCTACCTCACCACACTGGTAAAATCGGGTTAGTGTTGCATGAACCCGGCAACCGGAGTTCTATTCCCAGCCACGGCTAACATCAGTGGCGAGTGATAATATCAGAACTGGTCCGGGCCACCTTGCCCCCCCCCCCCCCTCACTAATCCACATTGACCGGCGTGGTAAGGTATGGTCAAATATCCCCCTGACTGACACATCTTGTGGTGAATGCCCTCATCCAGCAGTGGATTGACAAGGGGCCCTAGATTGATGTTTTTATTATTTTACTTTGTGAAAGATTTGTAGAACAAAGTTGGTGTTTTAAAAGGGTCACAGTATGCCCCCAAACTCAGGCTGGAGTCGGGCGGTAGCTCATCATCTCTGTTAACTGTTTGACACCCCACAACATTAAAATTCCAAGCTCTGCCCGTTTACAAGTCAACAGGGTTTTCTGCTGCCTAAATAAGCGGAGGTTTGGTGTGAAATTCCTCGCTTTCCATCCCGTGCCAGCTGTGATTTCCTCTCAGCGCCCTCCAATTCAGCCGTGAAGTGAAGCTCGGTTTGTGAGTAGGGGTGATGAGGATAGGGGGGGGGGGTACTTACCAAACTTGTCATGATTAACCCCCCCTACCACCCCACTTTGATGCAATAGTTACTAACATGCACCAATTATTGTTTTACCATCTCGTTTGTCTTCAATTATGAAGAATGCAGTTAGCTCCGTTGTATATACAGTAAAACCTTGGATTGCGAGCATAATTCGTTCTGGAAACGTGTTTGTAATCCAAAGCACTCGTATATCAAAGCACTCGTGTATCAGTTGTGATCACGTGATGCTCGGCAGACAAAGCGTATACGTACACTGCTCGTATTGCAAGACCCTCGCTCGTTTATCAAATTAATATTTATTTAAAAATTTTGCTCGTCTTGAAAAATACTCGCAGACCAAGTTACTCGCAATCCAAGCTTTTACTGTATGTTGAACTTATTTTGCGCCATACGTAGCCAAGCATGCATCAAGAATCATCTATTGGCACATTCGATGCGTACATTACATCGCGAGCGAAACAATGCGATTGTGTCGATGAATTGATGCATCGTCACGTGCCTGGCACGCCCCCCCCCCCAAATGAGCCTTCCCTGCCACCCCCATTCGTAGGTGGCTGGGGAGACAGCTAACATTATGGACAAATGCTGTTGGCATCACCATAGCTCGCCATCATTTCCTTCTGCTAGATCTCGTTGATTTTGCAACCAAGAATACAAAATCCACACCCCTCGCTGCAGGGACGCAGTGCATCGTAAACAACAAACTCTGCGTATTTTACACTGAAACTTATGCCGTAAGCAACGGGGTACCGTATAATCAATACCAATGGCTATCGCACTTGAAACACATGAAAATAAATATAAATGAAAAAAATACAAGTTGAATAGCATAAGAAGAATGGCGTTACATACTCTTTGGTTCTTTCGGTAAAGTCACGTAGGTAAAAAAATAAAAAATCACGACGTTTCGGAGGCAACACAAGCTTCCGTCATCAGGTGTAACTAGCACAGCAACATTACTGTAAAGAAAGCTATTTGTGATAAGAGATTATTATATAGGGTAAGAGGAGGGGGGGGGGAGGAGCCAGGGAGGATGGATGCAGGGTGGGGGGGGTTCTGTTTTCCCCCACCCCGTTAAATCTGGCCCTGTTACCACGTCCTGTTAATGGGAAACACCTCAAAAACGTTTTAGCTCGTCTCATCCTGTACCGTCAGTCGTGTGGTGCCACGGTGGCGAGATGTTACCTCTCACGCATGGTATACAGCAGGGCGTGAGTTTGATCCTAACCCCGACGCCTGCTCTATATTTGGAGTCTGCGTGTCTCTCTCTGTCCCCATGGTCGCATGGATTTTCCACCCGGCCCTCCGGTTTTTCCCTCCACATTTAGAAAAATGCGTTTGGAGTATTTGGCTGCAATAAATTTCCACGTGATGAGCCACTTCCTTGAACTATCAAATGTGGCCATGTCGCTTTCTGAAAAAGGGTTATATGCTCAGTGGGCCTGAGCTGGTAAAATCAACGTAGCAGTGGTCGTGCCTCAATTTGTCCCCCACAGCGTCTTGTGCGAACAAGGGTGCCCTGGAGGCTGCATTGGATGGATCCTTCATGAAGATGCGGAGCGCTTTCTTCCTTCTGTCTGGGAAGGATGCACACATGTTGTCCAAGGTGTCGACCAGTGTTGTTTTTGTGGCCCCTGGTCGAGGAAGCAGCAAAAGTCCATCTCGGGGTTTTCCAGTCTTAGGTGACAACCGCGTGCAGGTGGATTCACTCAGAAATAGAAATGTGCTGGTGGTGGCTTTATCATTAGCACTCTTCGCACATCGAGACCCATAGACTTACCTAGAGGCCCACAGACTCTCATAGAGACACCGCAAACTTTAAGACCTACAGGCTCGATCGATTCAAAGGGATCCACATACTTAAATAGATACCCAATAAGGAACTGGAATGCACTGGCAATGGCTTCATCATCAGTGCTTTCTCCTGCAGGCTGATGGATTGAAAACGCGTTTCCTTAGAACTGCTTTTTGTGTTTGGTTTATGATCCTTCCCCCGCTCCTCTGATTAGCACGGTTGGCTACGTACAGTGTGAAAGAAGTTCAACATCCATACACACTTGCAGCCCACGCAGCTGGTGGAGTTCAGCAGCGGTGCAGCAGTATCATCATGTTCCAATTACCACCTGCATGCATTATCACCTGATACTCATCGGGTCTCTATGCGAGTCTAAGGGTCACGCATGTGAGACTGTGGTCCTCTATGTGTGATGAGCGGCAGTGTAGCGGTTGGCGCGCTGTACTACGAACCTGGCGACCCGAGTTCGATTCCCACTCACGGCCAACACCAGTGAAAAATATCTTAACTGGTACTGGGCCTCCCCTAGGTCGATTCAGCCGTAAATGATTACCTGGTGCGGTGGATAAACATCGGCACTGGGGAGACTAAGGCGGTCGGGCGTGGTGCTGGCCACCCACCCCCTCGTGTACCGTTCCGGCCTTCATAGGTGCTACTCGCTAACAGCACTTGCCCCTACAGTCTGTTAAGGCTACACGGGGGAATCTTTGTTTTGATACCAGTCAATGGGTGGCTAAGTCAGAGCTGATGATGAAGTCACTGTCAGCACATCCAGGGCTCTCAATGAATCCACCTGCATGCGTGGTCAACCGAGACTGAAAAACCTGGGGTGGATTTTTGTTGCCTCCTCTCCCCTGGTGTGTCTCTGCGTGCATTCAACGGGTGGCGTCCAAGGGAGATTAGAACCGAGCCCAAACTCCTCGTTCTCCACCGAACCCACAGCAATGAAAGCCGCGGAACCTGACCGACCTCCTTTCGGCAATCAGCTCCAGTGTGTCTCAGATTAATGCAGACCCCTGCTCATGCAAGCCAGCGATTGCTTCCCATCAATTAACTAAGCACATTTCAATGCAGGTGGGCGTCTCTGTCTGTATGGACCACTTACGAATGTAGCTGCTGTTGAGTTTATCTAATTGACTATTTGCACATCACATTGGGTTTAATAGAGGCACACTGGGTTTAATAGAGGCACACTGGGTTTAATAGAGGCACACTAATTACAGGTTGTGCGCGCCTGAAAACGGACTCTCTTAACGGGCAACCACTGAAAGCTACCACGTCTGGAAATGTTCGTGAAAAACACAACAAACGAGCATAGGTCCGAGCTGATGATTTTGCATTGCATAAATTAACGTTTGTGTTTAAATGCAGTTATGCTAGATTATATGCGGCCATTTGCACTTCATTAATTCACCATGGGGTGGAGTGGTTGGCACAGGTTAGCACACTCCATGGTTCTGACGATGGATGATTAATGATTATTGATGATGCTCATGGATGATGTTGCAGGGCCAGGCGCTCCTGCGGTGGCACGGGGATCATCGGTTCAGCGGGCGTTCAGGCCGGCTCAGCCTGCGGGACGCGTCGGGCAGCAAGCGCACCTGTCCCGACACGGGCCACGTGCAGTACCCACAGGTGGCAACTGCAGCAGCTGCTCGTTCACTGCAACTGTGTGTGTGTGGGTGACGGTGTTGTCGATTGCGGTGATTATTGCCACCGGCTGCATCCGAGGAACACGCCTCCTGCAGACGGCCCCTTCGTCAATGCACTGCTGGGCGAGGGCAAGGGGGGTCGCGGGGGTTGTTTGACCGTACATTGCCTTGCTGGTCCGTGCGGGCCACGTCACAGGCCCAGGGGGTCTGGGAGTGACACAAATCTCTACGCGATCCACCAACCCCTGTCCTGAGCTCAGATGGCGCCTGTAGTGATCGTTTTGGTGGTGGATGGCGATCGATGTCTCCTGGCCCGCAAGGACATCCACCCGCCTGGCATGTACAGCACCATCGCAGGCTTCTGTGACATTGGTGCGTGGTTCTCGGCAGATCCTCCGAGTGACTCATCCTGCTAGCAAAGACGACAGCGTCACCCACACACACACACACCACCACCATCATCATCCCAGCCAGCACCTTCGTACTAGCACGACATCATCACCCCACTCACCACCATTACCCTACACATACCATCACCAAAACACACACCATCATCACTGTCATCGTCATCCTGCCATACACCATCATCATAGCCAACACTATCACACTAAAATACTATCATCACCATAATCAACACCATCATCTTGCCATACACCATCATCCCGGCATACACCATCATCCCAGCCAGCACCTTCGTACTATCACACCATCATCACCCTAATCAACACTATCAGACCATTTTTTTACACGTTCCGTGAGTGTAAAACGTTTTGCGTAATTTATACAACGTGTTAATTTGAAATCGAGATGCAATTCAATATTTCCATTCAAATGTAATGAAAACGTAATCCACATGCAATTATATATTTTTGTTTCTCTCGAAAAAATTCGTGACTTTTTACGACTCCTCTCCAAAAAACAACGTTTATCGGTGCAACGCGAGAGAGGGGCTCACGTGCCGCTGCGTGGTGTCGTGCCATCGCTGGCTGTGCAGGCGAGAACGTGGACATGGCGGTGAGGAGGGAGGTGGCCGAGGAGGTGGGCGTGACGGTGTCCTCCCTGAACTTCGTCTTCTCCCAGCACTGGCCGTTCCCCAGCAGCTCACTGATGCTGGCGTGCCACGCCGTGGCCGAGGAGGGCCACACGGAGGTCCGGCCGGCGGGCGGGCGGGCGCACCGTCATTCCATCGCCACAGCTCTGCCCATCGCCACGTCATTGTATAGGCCACCCCCCGGCCCGCCATATCCAAACACTGCGCCCACCACCCCCCCCCCCCCCCCCCCTTCATCTCTTAATCATGCCAGGATGATGATGGCGTGCATTTGGGATTTGGGTGATGTGTGTGTAGGGTGATGGTCGCAGTGATGGTTTGGGTTGATAATATGGTGATGGTGTTGGCTGAGACGGTGTATACCAGGGTGATGATGGTTGCAGGTTGGAGTGATGGTGTGTGTAGGGTGATGGTCGCAGTGATGGTTTGGGTTGATAATATGGTGATGGTGTTGGCTGAGACGGTGTATACCAGGGTGATGATGGTTGCAGGTTGGAGTGATGGTGTGTGTAGGGTGATGGTCGCAGTGATGGTTTGGGTTGATAATATGGTGATGGTGTTGGCTGAGACGGTGTATACCAGGGTGATGATGGTTGCAGGTTGGAGTGATGGTGTGTGTAGGGTGATGGTTGTAGGGTGACGATTTGGGTTGGGTCGGTGTTGGCTGGGATGATGGTGTATGCGATGACGTGGTGCCCATCACCAAGTCATTGCATGGGCGCCCCCCACCCCGCCACCACCCCGCCCGCCACATCCAACCAATGCCTCTGCCCCTCCTTTCATCTCTTAATCATCAACCTCATGCCAACCACGCCCACTACTCCGATAGCTCCACCTCCTTTTGTTCGTATCGTGAGCCAAAACACGAGGCTAGAAATGTTTATACAGGGACAGTACCCGGTTTGGGGCAGTATTCAAATGTCATGTAATCATTACATTTGCAATTGGTATCTAAATAACATGACTTCGTTGGTCATTTTTATCTGCATTACATTATTCCAGTAGTTTTTAATTTAAATGCATTGTGCCCATCTCTGGCGGAATGGAACACATCGGAGACCACCTTTTCTGATGCCACCCACACTTCCCCGGCCGAATCAGGACACTCGGTAGCTTTGCTCATCCCGTGTCACCCCCCCCCCCCCCCCCCCCACCCAGCAGATCTCTGTGGACACCACAGAGCTGGAGGACGCGCGCTGGTTCTCGCGCGACGAGGTACACAGCGCGTTCTCGCGACCCGTCCCGCCGGAGGTGCTGCGTGGCTGGGCAGTGTCGTCGCCGGAGGAATCGTCTCAGGCGGCCCGGGGCGACGTCCCCTTTTGGGTGCCGCCAAAGTGGACGGTCGCCCACTGGCTCATCCGCGAGTGGATCCAGGTGCCCAAGCTGGGATTAATGTCTCAGTGAATATATCCCGGGTCGTTGGTTGCCAAGCGTGGACACTTACTACAGAGTACAGAAGAAAGAACACTGTTATTTGCGAGGCGATGCCTTGGAAAATCAAACTTAACTTTAAATTTCACCAGGCAAGGCCCACTGAGCTATATAGCTCTTTTGCAGATAGGACCTGGCCACAAATATATGGACATCTGTGAACATCTATGAAAAAGATCTTCATAGCTAATTAGATTCCTCCAGTATAAAGATTCTGATTCTGTATGCATGTGTTGAACTTCTTTCACACCGTACATTGCCAGCCGTGCTAATCGGAGGTGCGGGGGAAGGACAACAAAACAACATGATAGTTCAACGAAGTGGATTTTCACGTGGAAATTTATAGCAACCAAATACTCTAAATGCACGTTTCTAAATTTGTAGGGAAAAATCGGAAGACCCGGAGAAAAATCCACACGGCCACAGAGAGAACAGACAAACTCCAAGTATACAGGCGTCAGAATCGAACCCCACCGCCTCCTATATACCCGGCGAGGTCGTTGCCACCTCGCCACTTCTCATCGTAAGATGACAATGCCGCACACAGCTCACCGCACAAATCAGCTTTGGCCGAGATCTCAGAAAGGGTGGCAGAACACGAAATTTCTGATCATTACCGATGATAGAAGAGGAATCCGCGGTGTGTTTGGACACGCAACACGAAACTTACGTAACAGCATTGATTTTAGTTTTGTTGATTTTAAGTTTGGTTGATTTCTGCACTTAATATCGTTCAAGAGCTCCTTATTCAGAGGATTAGCCCCTTCATTGATGTAACTGTGTAATTGTTGTGCAATATTTTGAGATGCAATTGTACGAATGGTGCTATATATCAATATGAAATCAACTGGATGACAATTGCAGTATCAAGGACTGGTCCCAACACCTGACAAAGACTGCGCAGGACAGGCAAGAGTGAAAAGATTTGGCAACTAAAGCAACGGCAGCATTCCCACGGTGATTGCGGATAAGGGTTTTATGCTCGATTGGAGTAGGCATGTGACTAGCAGCCGGAACCGTAACGAGAGGATGTGGTGCGTCAGATTTCTAGAAATATATGCAGGTTACCAACCCGGACAGACCCGGCTGATTTTAAGCCCTGTGTCTGACTCGTGAGAGACGAAGCATTAGGGTGGGTGGAATGGACTAGCACCAGCTGAGAGGAGACACTGCCCTACAATGGGTGCGGTGTGATCCCAGCAATACTGACGATGACGATCAAAGTGTCTCCATTGCCAGTTCTGAACCTGTGGTGGAAATTCCACATTCCAATGGTGGTGCTCATGTTGAAAATTATCATCAAACACTCGCACGGCAGCATCAACCTGTCTCGTAGCATTTAAGATCTGATAACGGCACAACAATGCTTCTTCTTGCAAATATAACTTTCAGCATGAAACCAGACAGCCTCAATGGCCTTCTTCTTTCGTATGGATTAATAGCAGCATATTGCAGATATAATTTTGGACGTGTTATCCACTCAAATGGTTATCTTTATCATCAACAAAAAAAAACGGGCAGCGCAGATCACTCTCATCATCGTTTATTCACTGTGCCATTCCTCAGTCCTGCGATGCGTCACAGTCCATCTCGCCTCAAGGACTGGATATTCGACATTACCCGACACCACGACCGGCTAAAGTAACAAATGATCATCGGAATGCCTCGGCTCTACCTCTTGCGTGAAGTGACAATGATCTAGGTTTCAATTGCAGCAAGCAGCAACAGCGAGCGAGTTCATCGTTGAGTGACGCACGTGCCGAGGGAGCTCGATTGGCACTCGGCCGCGAGTTGTTGCTCTCGTTGACATCGGCAATCATCGGGGCAGTGGCGGTGGCGTGACCCCGGCTGCCCGGTGTTTACACACGGCCGCCGTTCAAGCGAGGGGGGCGGGCAAGATCCCCTTGAAATGACGACGCTCTCGAGCGATTTCAACGACGTGATCGATACGCACCCCCTCGTGCAGTGCCCTTAGCAGTCAGAAAGGTGCCTCCTTCCCGCACTGCACAATGGTTATCAAGTGCCTTGCATTTCCGTACAAAAAAAGCAATATTCGCACTAACAAGCACACTGTGCACTGCCTCTTGAAATTCAAATAAACAATTCAGACAGCAGTCAACACTGCTAAGACAAAAATTTACGTACGGTGTAAGTAACCCTGAAGAATGTATTCTGCTTTGCCTTTTGAAATGGAATAAACGATTGAGACTTCAGCCGAAAAACTGCTTTCAAATTTTTTTTATTTTCCAGCAGAATGCATTTACAAAGGTTCCAGAGTTCGTGATAATACACAACAAAACACATTGCCGCTTACGCGACACGATGCTGTACGGCATTCAGATACACTAGACACCACAAGCAAAGCAATGTAATAAATGCATACATAAAACAAAAGCAACCATTACACAAGTAACAATTACATACATCTGTATACATTGCATCGCGAACATTACACCAGTGGTGGCACTTAGCGAAGGGAACGGTTGCCCGATTCTCAAGTGCACACAGCAGCTCTTTGTAAACACTGGACCGCATGCACATCAGCTCGATGACGCACATTAACCCTTTCCCGTTCTGAGACGTCTGCAAGTTGCAGGTTGCGTGTCCCATTCACCGCTGAATCTCAGAACACGCAAGCAGGTTCGCGTTAAGTTTATTTAGAGAGGCATTGCGCTGTTGTTTTTCAAGACATTGTATTCACCACAGAGAACTGTAGCGACACAACCACATTCTATGATAGCTGGCGCCATACTGTGCCGCACGCCCTCCGGCATGGCCTTGTGGGAGCCTTGGTACCGATAAAGTTATTTTATTTTTTATTCCAGAACGGAATCAGAAGAAAAACTGATGACGTATTTGTGTGTACACGTACAACATAGGAATGGGAAAGGGTTAATAGCTGATGCGTATAATTCTAGTATATTCCTCACTGATCTCGGTGGCAAGTTCATCTGGCGTTCCCCGTTTGCTCCTGGCCATCAGTATTTGTCAACAAGTCATAGTGTCAGTTATGGGAGCCGGCTGGATATTTCAATTCTTGATACCAATGACAACATCCCCCCCCCCCCCCCCTTGTGTATCCTACTTGGCCTGGTGGTGAGAAATTGAATCGCGCTTTCTACGAGAGCCGTGCTTAGCGATGATCAGGAGTGTGCAGTGTGTAACGGCGTAATTTTGCATTCAACTGAAGACCGGTAAAGGCGAGGTCTACCGCGTCGATTTGGAGTTTGAAAAATTATAACAATTTACAGGCCTTTTGTTAATCCACTGCTGGCTGAAGGCCTCCCCATGCCACGTCGGTCTTGGGGGTTTTGCTTAACCAGACGTCAGCACGCTGGTCATGTGGGTTGGGGAAGATGAGGAGGCGGGACAGAGGAGCCCAGGACAAGTGCAGACATCGCTCGCCGTTGATGTCAGCCGTGGCCGGGAATTGAACTCGGGTCGCCAAGTACAGGGCACAGTGCGTGAACCATTACGGCACCAACGCTAAGTTCCCGAGCTCCGATTAACACCAGCAGCATGTGCGATCGTTTGGTCTCTTGCACGACTGGCCATATCAGTAATTCACACGCACTCCATCGATCGAACTCTTGCGCACGACACAGACGAACCGCCCCAACCTCCGCAGCCCGGCCGAACCCCGGGCTGATCCGCTGGCAGCAGCGGCGGCAGTGGTGCTACGACGGGTCGTCGTCGCGCGAATCGTGGGGCAGCCGCAGGCCCATGCTGTGTAAGAGCGTGGAGGCGGGGCCGGCCAGGCCGTCCTGGGAGCTGAATGACTCCAGCAGGTTCTTCACCAGGTTGAGGTCCACGTCGACAGGCCGGAGATCGTCCGCGCCGACGGACGACGCGGCCCGGGGGTTGTCGCTGGCGTCGCGGTGGTCGCCAGGACCGCGAGCCGTTCCGGTGTGCGGCTGGCCGCGGTGCACCCCGGCGGGGCCTCCCACGGTCCCCCGTCTCTGCTGCTGCGCAGAGACAACACAGGGTGCGCACACGTGTTTGGCGGGGGAGACTTGAGAGACCTGGGAGGGATGCAGGAAAGGTAACGACGAATGTGCTCCCACGTCGCCCCCCGCGTGCGCGCTCCCACGGCGGCGCGCACCTGTGCGGGCGGCTGCCGCTCAAAGCTCTTCCCCACGTTGGTAGCAGCCAGCTCACGGTCCATCTGCTCCATGTAGTCGCGCAGGCCCTTCAGATCGTTCAGCCCCGTCACGCCGCCTCCAGCACCGCCGTCATCACCCTCCCACTCCTCGGCATCGTCGCCATCGTCACAGTCATCCCAGTCGAGGTCATCGTCGTCGTCGTCGTCGTCGTCATCGCTGGCCCCGTCGTCCGAGCCTGACCGATCGGCGCCCTCCTCGTTCATCACGGGGCCTGGAAGAGGCGAAGTTGTGAATGTCGTGCCGCGTGAGAAAATTGAAAATTATTACAGCCCACTTGCCTGCTTGTTTAGTTAAAGGCAAAAGAGACAGAGAGTGGATCACGTTGATTATATAACATATGCAGGTCAGAGATGTAATTTTTACTGTGAAACTGGGCCTCAGCAGGATACATCAGAATCAGAATCTTTATTTATCCTGGAGAAATACGATGAGCTATGAAGCTCTTTTTCACAAATATTCCAGATGTTGCGAGAAGCTATGATGGCCGGTGGTCGAGACGAACGACAGCGGCAGCCAAGGAGAGGAAAGGGAATGCGCCCGAGAGGCCGACCCATGCTAAGATATTTTAGGGAAAAAAAAATGTCCCAACTAAGAAGAAAAAACAAGGCGCGCGGAGAAACCCTACAGAGCTCAAAACCCCACCGTTCAAGATTGGCCGGCGCGGCGCCGACGTGCACCCGGTTAACTTATCGATGAACGAAGCATAGCCATCGAATCCTGAGTGAGGACGCAGCGATTGAACATGAGGCAGCCACGGCAGCCTTGCACGTCGCTCACCCGTCAACTTGTGAAGTGCGGCCATGAAGGCGTCAACGTCCAGCCGAACGGGGCGCTCGTCTTCGAGGCTGAGGAGAGAACGCTGACAGATTTGAATGGCACAGTTGGACTCGTCGACTCGGGAGCGCTTCAATGAATAATAATGGTTTTGTAATTGATAAGACCCAACTAAACTATTGTTTATTTTACCAGGTAAGGCCCACTGCGTTATGCAGCTCTTTTTCAGAAGCGACCTCGCCGCAAATGATTGCTCAACGAAGTGGCTCATCGC